AAAGTGGCTGTCCGAATTCTTCGGGGGGCTTCTACGAGGAAGGTATTATGAAGTTGCCGTCTAGATGGAAACAGATCATCGAACAAAACGGGGCATATTCTAACTACATCCGATCACTGTAACACTTTTTATAAAGCATTGAATGAAGAGCAAAAAAGCGGAAGGGAGATATTTGATATATATGTGTGCATATAACATAAAGCCTTAACAGATAAAAAAAAAACAGAAACCGCTGAAAAATTAATAAGCAATAGATTAAAAATATTTTATTAAGTCTTAATAAATAAATTGTGCAGCTATTTTGAGTCTGCGCGGCAGCAAACACTTTTACTAAAAATAGAGATCAAATAAAGTACTCATGAGAAGCATTGCGCGTGGCGCCGACTCGGTTCGCATGAAAATGTCACGAAGTCAAGCGAGAGAGCAACTAGCAGGCGTACACGTGTTTTGAACCAAATCTTGTAATTACAAGTTACTTCATTTCTTTCTTTCTCAATTCACAATAAACCACGCCCATTTTTTTATTCTTACGGTAAGAAATTTCTTTTATCTATCAAATTTTATGTGGGACCTATCCTCGACGGTTACATTTCTATCTGTTAAAATTAAAAGAAACTCTGTATTTATGGTACCGGGTTATGAGGGATTATACATTTTATTCAATGCCTCAATGCATCATATCCCATCACAGACCCTCTGGTTAAAGTTTTCCCCCCGAAATTCTCAGGGACTAACTACAAAATATATCCTATGCTGTATAAAAAGAATCGAAATCAGACTATCTGGTATCTAAGTATACGGAATCATACGTTGGAGTCAATAAACTTTCGTCTCTTTCCTACCCCTCTGTACGTCATTTTGTCATACCTAAAAGTTTTTCTCCGTACGTCGGCAAAATAGGCAAAAACCATGACGCGATTAATAATTTGAGCAGTCCTTACTTTACAGATAAAAAGGGTTAAAACGCAAGAGAAAGCATCCGAAAAACATTGAAGTATGAAGTTTCGGGATGTTTCGATAACCAGGGAAGGATCAAGCAGACCCCTCTCCGCTATCAAATCATAAAAAGAGGAGGTTACTTGTTCGCTATTGACATTCAGTTCCAAAAGCACAAAATAAGTAAATCACCGAGGTCATCTAACGGTAGGTCCAGGAAACGTGTTTCTATGACGGAAGCTTTCCAGAGATAGAGAGAGAGAGAGGTTAGATTAACCATGCACCGGGGGGCATGTAAAGAGTTGATTAGTGTTGTTCGGAGACTCTCTACATGCAGTACATACATTGGGTATGTTGGGTTCGAGTCTGGATAGGTAGAAGTTTAACATACTACAGTATCCATACCTAAGTTACGCGGAACTTTCGAGGCAGCTCGAGCTCTTCGTCCGAAACAGGTGCTTCTACTCCGATTACGCCATTTACGGGAAGTTAGTATTTGCAGGTGTTAACAGCTTAAAGTCCAACCGACCAAATCAGGCTTGAACTAGATGTGAGAGTCGATGACGTGAAAATTCCGACCATAAGCAACCCTAAGATATTAGGAGTCACACTTGACTGCCTGTGCCACTTCACTCCGCACTTAAAACTGCAGAGCCGCAACAAAATACTCTGAGCGCTAGCCGGCAGCACCTGGGATCGCCCCAATACTCATCTTCTTGAAGCTGAACTTCCACCCAGGCATATCAAAAACTAAGTACTACTAGTATAAAGGACATAATCCAGCAACACGACCAACAACCGCTGGACAGGACGGCAAACTAACAAGCCATTCCACTTCTTTAATAGTCTACTGTCACCGCATCCCTATTCCTAAAAGAGAGTCTATAAATCTTAAGGGCCTCATTATAAAAAAAGTTTTAGATTGCTTGACACTTTCAGATGTTTACACAATGATTTAGAAATGATAATTTCTTCGAAATTAATTTCAGTCGTTCTCTCTTTTGATATACTTAAAAAAAAATATTTTACAGTTAATTTTGATTGTCAATCACAGGTTTGTTGAGGTGCGTAAATGAGATGTTCCACTCCTATAGTGCTCTTAAAAAAAGCTTACAGGTTTACTTCTACTCAAGACCACGGAGGTAGTTTTGACATTAAATCATGCTCTCATTCGACTATCTAGGAAGTCGATTCATAGATCTTTCTCTTCTTTCTTGGCAACGGAAATGTGTTCAATGAAACATCGTCTCTTTTTAAGCTTTATGACCTAATAGACATATTTGTTGGAAACTTGCTTGTGAACCGTTTCCAATTTTGCTTTTCAAAGCAAGCTCTTTATCAAGCAAAGCGCAGTTTTTAAAATTCTCTACTTGAGAAAACGTTAGACCTCAACTTGGATTCCAACCCAATTCTCAATTGGCGAAATTATTTCCATTGGTAAATAAATCATTTCCCCAACATTGGAAAACTTTCAGTTTTATGTCTATTGGGAAATAGAGAGTACCATATATTTAGCTTCCAATTAGGAACTACTCGAGTGCATACTCTTATCAAAAAACGTTTTCGGTAAGCAAGAAGGCAGTCGTTTATTTTTCCCTCCAACCCAAGTATTTAGTAACGTAATCAATTGTTGTAATTAGTCGCTGAGAAAGGTATGTGCATACCTCATGCGTGTGTACTATTTCCTTGACAAATGTACTCCGCTTTAAAATTTATCACTTACCTACTTAACATATTACTTGAAACGTTGCGCTTACATACATAAATACATGCATACCTACATATGTATATATTCTACTTAGTTAACATTTAAAAATGTCATTTAACTGAGTATTCACTCGCATTTTGCATATTTACAATATTTAGATGTAAACAAAAATTCACTATGTGTTTTATACATATGTATATGTATGTAAGATAGGTAAAAAAAATCTTTTGACATAAATGTATGTGTATATAGACGTACTCATAAAATACTGAATTGCAAAAATTTTAACTGTCCACCGCTTGTGTTTACACTTTACGTTTGAAGCCAAAGCGAATTGTACATAGAATGTGCTTATTACTCCCACGAATATATGTGTCGCATGCGAGAAAATTATGTTCGCTATTAGAAAAAATATCGCAAGCGAATATTAAATGCACGTTGCCGTCTGAACAATTAGGAGTTTTTTATGCTTCTGACATTTTTTTTTCGACAAACAGTATACTGGTGTAGTTTTGTGGATTATAAATAACAAAATAAATAAAAACTTGTGTTCTATATAAATAAAATTGAATTAATTAATATACAAACTAACTAAAATAAAATAAAATATAATTAAATGAAATTAAATAAAATAATATATAAAAAAATTAAAGAAATTTAATAAAAAAAAAAAAAAAATAAAACAAAAAAAAATAGTATGAAATATAAGGTACTATAAATTAAACAAAGTAAAAGGAAATTAAATAAAATTAAATTAATTTATATTATGGGGGGAAGCTGGTCTAGAATTTTGAAAAAATCGGAAAAAAAATTTTTTTTCATCTTAAGAGGTGCTTTAGGGTCTTAGAAATAACATACCAAAAGATGGATGCCGGCAAAAATGTCTAAATGCGAAATTTTTCATTCGACGGCAGTGCCTCGCAGGTATGCCCCGAGCGACCTACAACTTTAAGCGCGTTTTTTTCGAAATTACTTTTTTTTTTAAAACTGGTTGAAGACATAACTCGAACAAATCTTCATCGATTCTTACGAAATTTTGGCAGTACATTTGAAATACCGTTCTCCGAAGACATATGTGGGATTTTTTTTATATAACATAGTTTTTTTTTTAATCAACAATTTTATATCGTTTTTTATAGTGAAAATTGTAACTTTTTGTTCAAACGCTCACCATTTCGCGAAAAAACAAAATATCGAAAAAATCCTATGTACGTCTCTTGCTGTTGTTATATAGAAACTAATAAAAATTAAAAAAATTTTTGATGCAGGACAAAATTAATGAGTTTACATCTTCGGCCGTGGAGCCATTAGAAAAAATGCGTCTTTGGAGAAATGCTGGACAGCGACCATTTTGAAACTAATTCACACGAAAAATTTTGTATTTGTACCATGAAACCTATATTATTAAAGATTAAGATTTTGGATTGATTCCTCAACAAAGGAATAAAATATGCCCATTTTTTTGTACTCTAGACCAGCTTCCCCTTAAATAAAATTAAATAATATAAACTAAAATAACTTAAAATGAAAAAAAAGAATAAAATAATATATATATAACTGATTTCTATTAAACTTGTGGAAATAAAAAAAATATGAAATATGAATTAAAACATGCAAAAAATAAATAAAATGTAATAAAATGAAGTCAAATAAAAAAAACAGCAAAATATTAAAAGATAATTAAGTTAAACTACTTGAGATGAATTAAGTTAAAATGAAAAAAAAATTAAAATATTATTGCAATATATTTTAAATTGAAATTAATTAAAATGACAATAACAATAAAGAAAACAAAATTAAAGAAAGTAATAGTGAATAATACAAAACAGAGAAAATGAAATAAAATATGATTAAAAATAAAATAAAATAAATCAACTAAAATTAAATAACGCAAAAAAATTAGTAAAATTAATATATTTCTGGCGGTAGTTCGTGAAACACTTCATCGGGAATTTTTTTTATTAATAAAAATAACAAAAAGAGCGAAATAACACATAACATTTGTTTCGGATAATTAAAAACTAAAATTTTCAGTCTGCAATTTGTAAAACATATGAGGCAAATATTTCAGCACTTAACATGCACACATACATGCAATTACAACTATTATAAATAAATTTTCTGAGTAATCATAGATTTATTAATTAATTAAAATACATCTGCACATGGCAATTCTCTCTGTACCAGCGAACGCCAGCAAAGCATTTCCATTTATGCGGCTCCAAACTGTATTTCACTATCGAAAGCAGAGCGGGTATAGGGCGGCAGCAGGTGGTTGTAGTGCTGCGCTGCGTTGACGACTAACGTTTTTGGTTAGTGCGATGACGACAGCGGCGACGTCGATAGCTTCATGCCTAAGCACCAACGGTCCGTCAATTCAGTCGCAAGAAAACCACCCGAACGCTATGTTGTATCGCGTTGTCGTTTGCGCTGATTTAGTTTTTCTTTAAAATTACATTTTTTCATTAAAACAAAAACACGTTCAGCAACTCCAATTCATTATTTTCGCTGTTTAATTTGCCAAATCGATTGCCTGTCTGGCTGTTTGCATTGCGAGTGAATAGACCATTATTTGCGTTGGTTAATTTCAGTGTGCATAAAGTGAAAAAAAAAAATTAAAAAAAAAAATTAAAAAAAAAAAACAAAAACAAAAATTAAGTAAAACGGCAAGCGCATTAATTGCCATAGTTTATAGTTATTGTTTGAAAATTTTGTTGTTAACATAGTTTTTGTTGGGTTTTTCATTTTACATTTTTCAATTCGCTGTGTATTGTACTTGTTGCTGTTGTTGGCAATTGGTGTGCATTGCAGAGTTGCGTGCGACACACTAAGCAAAATCGTTGCAACAAACTTCAAAAACAAACAAAAAAAAAAAACAAAAAACGAACAAAAATAAGAAAAAATATTTATAAAATATATTTACAACGAAGTACATCAACAACAACAAAAGCGCAAAAAATATAAAAAGTAAATTAATCGAATTAAGTGGAAATTATAGAAATCATGCCGTCCAAAAACGATAAAGATATTGAAATCGGCAGCAAAGTGGAAAATGCTGTTGTTGCTGTTGCCAGTGACGACAATGTGGAAAGCAGCAGCGCAGCAACACCCGCTACCACCGCTGCACCAACCGCCATCGTTGTGGTGGCAGCTGCTCCACCGGCTAAGGCCGCTTCAGACGAAACTGACGCCACGTCTAACGGCAATACGAATGCGAAATCTACAACGCCGACAACGAAGGAGGCAACAACAGCAGCTACTCAAGAGCAGTCGTCGAAACAAGAATCCGCTGGCTTGCAGGCCAACATACAGCCGATGCAACAATCTATTGCAGGTAAATTGTGCATTGCATGCACTGCTTTCTCGATACATACATACGTGTGTGTATGTATGCGCGCGCGCGCCAACACACATTGCAATAGTACAATAGATAAGACCCCGCCACAATCGCTGCCGTCCCCTATACCATCAACATTGCCTTGACACTTGGCCATTAGCCAGCTGCAACAAGTATCTAGCGGCTAGCGGCAAGCGGCTGGTGGCTAGTGGCTGGGAGCTGGCTGCCGTGGCAGTAAAAGTTGTTTTGCCGGCCTGCGTGTGCACATAACTTTACTTAGTTACCTTTGTATGTATGGATGTATGTATGTATGTATGTATGTAGATATGAATGCACACAAATCATTTATGTATCTTAATGTCTATATGTAAATTTGTATGCTAGTATATTGTTTGTCTGCATTTACGATGCTGTCAAAGTTGGCTCAATAAACGCGACCAAGGCGCCGCTGTGTGTGCCTCTGGAGCGCTTCTGCCTCCACTTGCCACCACCACCCGTTCAACTCACCTAAAGCTCGCGTTCGCGTTCGCGTTCGCGTTTGCGCTCAATTTCACTTTTTTCACTTTTGGTAGTTTACCAGTTATTCGTGTTGCGTGTGTGTGTGAGTGTGTGTGTTTGTGTGTGAGTGAGTGTATGTTATTAAAGTGAATTTTTCCATTATTTTCCAATGTTAAGACTATTTTTCGGTGGGTCTATGCCAGCTCAGCGGTTGACTTTATGCAGTAGCAGCTATTTTTGTATGTTTATACATATGTACATATACACCTACATACATACATATGCATGTACGTTTATTCGCTCGTCTCAAGTAAAAGTAATTAGCATCTGTAACCCAATCGTATTGCCCTTTTGTTATGAGTGTTTTAATTAATTAAAATACATACCGTTATAAATTAAACTGCAAAATATTTGATGTGTCATGTTGAAGTACAAACATTTAATAAATATGTACATATGTATATAACCTCATATATGAAGGTACTTATGTATGCAAAAGTAGAGACATGCTTTTTAATGTATTTATATACATAAATATGTATGTACGTTCATATGTATACATTGTAAATATACCCGCCCATTGAACTGAAAAAAAATGGTCATAAATTGTTGTAGACTTGACTCTGGAGTCATGTAGATAATTAATATAAATTTCAACACAACGGACAACAGAAATATGTGTGTATGTATTTATGCATTTATAGATATGCTTGTAAGCACAACACATACATATGTACATACAGACGCATGTAGACATGCAGAGTAGAAAGGTGGTACGCTTGATTATCCGCTAATTACTTTAGTTTCAAGTAATTTGGTTTCAAAATAAAGTATTTTAAATCGGAGTCTGATTGGGTGATATTGCAGACAAAGGCCATATAATGATAACTACATACATACATATATCGAATTGGACCATTGGAGTGGTGCGATTGGGATTTCAGAAAATTTTGGTATCCGAAAAGAGCACTGTTTCCATAGTTTTTTGCGCAATTAAAATAATTTAGAACCAGTTGAAAAACACTGGATGCCTAAAGAAGCTCAATGTCCGGCTGATATATTGGTGTAGTAAAAAGAAATCCATTATTTTTCCATAAAGGCTTAAATTTTGTACTTTTCATATCCAGCCTTATTCAAATGGTTCCAAACGGTCTTTCGTGCAATCTTTAGTTCTTGAGCGATCAAAACAGTGCTTACATGGCGGTCGGACTCGACAATGTCCATGATTTTATTGACATTTTCGACCATTGACCTTCCACTCCGTGAAGCATCTTTACATCAAAATTACTGGAATGAAACCGATATTGTGCACGATTGACTCTAACGGGGATACTGTTATCATATCATAAACGATATTCAGATTTTCAGCCGTCTGGCTTGCGTTTTCGCCCTTGTCGAAGAAAAACCGTAAAATATAGCGTTTTTTCTCTTTGGTAGTGGCCACATTTGGCACGCAAAAACTGTCAGAGAAGCTTTTTAAATAAGAACTGCGATCTTTTTAACGCCATCTAGCGGAACCCGATTGGACTCATACAAGATGAGATACAGATAAATAACGCCATCTATTGGAAAAATAATGTATTTCTTTTTACGACAACTATATGAGTTCACGAGAATTTCGGTTTGCGAATCGTTGCTGAATGGTAACAAATGGGATCCATTTCTGAAACGTGACTGGTGACGGGTGATAAAAAGTGAATCATTTACAGCAATGCCAAATTAAAACAGCCACTGTTGAGAGGCATGATCTCTAAGCCATGATTGACGATCAGGAAGTTTTTTTGTTTGTTTGGTGGAATTGCCTAGGAATAATGTACTATCAGCTGCTCCATTATGGCCAAACTTTTAATTCAGGCCCATATTGTGAGCGATTGGAAGCTCCGATAGGAATCGATTTGTGTTTCATCAGAACATCGCCACACCACACACATCGGTAGTAACTCGCCAGAAGCACCGAGAGCTTGAGGTTCTTATGCATCTTTAAGACTGGAGTATGATCAGTTCCCAGCTATGGCGAATGATTTGGCTGGTGAAGAATTGACCTTAAGATAAGATTAGCTTTAATTATGAAATTTATTCATTTTGAGGTTATGTTACTAGTAGGTAACGCCTATGCCTACACTCAATCGCCCATTTCGTCTTGAATGAAAGCAGCGCGCTGAAAAGAAGACCTGAAAGTAAGTGAGAATATATAAAATATAGCAAGGCGTTCCTAACCGTCTATAGAGCATAAAGTAATATGAGATAAAGAAAAGGATTTGAAGCTAAAAACTGGCGCATTGAAAAGAGAAGAAGGGAATTCCCAAAAATGGTTTATTAATTTATGTATCTTTCAAGTATTTGGGGTACTTGGTTGGGGTTATTAAAGTCAAGTGATTTTGCCAGCATAAGAACAAGGTAACAGCCGAGTGATTAGAATTGCGTACTAACATCCGGAAGGCCAGATTCTGGTTTGACCAATATCCAAAATTTGTAACAATTAACTTTTTTTTAAGGGTCGGCCCTCAAAAGGGAATGTCAAGTCCTGCGTGTGTAGATCTTATACATCCTTATAATATATATATATAAAGGAGCGTTCCAAAGTAAACAGGACTTCAAAAAAACAAAAAGACAGAACAAATGGTTTTATCGGCAAAATCAATTAATTTTATTCAAAGTAGTCTACTTCTGCTTAATTACAGCTTTTTGCACGGTCCAAAAGCATGTCGAACGAGTGTTTTAGCTTGTTGCCCGGTATGGCCGCCAGTATGCTGGTGCAGGCCTTTTGAATGGCCTCCACGTCTGCATAACGCTTTCCTTTCATCGGCAAATGCATTTTTCCGAAAAGGTAGAAGTCATGCAGTGGCATATCAGGTGAATACGGGGAGTTGTTGATTGTTAAAATTTGATTTTTGATCAAATAATCGGCCATAAGCGTCGAAAGATGAGCCGGCGTATTATCGTGCCAACTTGAATCTTCGCGATATTTGGACCGAACACGTCGAATACGGCGCACCAAACACTTCAAAACTCCCAGGTAGAATACCGCATTAACGTTTTGGCCGGGTGGAACAAATTCTTTGTGGACAATACCCTTGGAGTCAAAAAAAAAAAAAAAAAACAAATGAGCATTGTCTTCATTTTTGACTTCTCCAGGCGCGATTTTTTTATTTTCGCACCGATGACAAAAACATACCGACACTTAAAACGCAATAACTTCACTTCGAATAGACGAAATGTCATGAAATTTTTACTGGAAGTCGATAAAAGATAGCAGATTTTAACGACATATAGATGGCGTCGCTAGAGGGCGCTAGATTCAAAAAGACCTGTTTACTGTAGGTCCCTCCACATGTTGCTGAAACATCAAGCGGAAGTCGGCCGAAAATTACTTCAGCGGTAGCAATGCGTCAATTACAATATGTATGTACATTTGTATTATATTTTAAAATGAAAATTTTAAAGAACAAATTTTCCGACGCTTAATTTTTAAGCGATCATACTTTATCGGAATATTTGCTAAAAGGAATGAGCAGCAAGTCATTAAAACATAGGAAAAATGATGAAAAAAAATCGATAAAAATACCAGCAGCTAAGCGAAGTTCTTACATGCGACTAAAACTTAAACTATCACCTTACGTCACCGCCAACATGTTTATGTCTCATTTGTGCATTTCTGCAACAACAAAGAGTTTCTGTTTGCTTTTGCTTCCATAAGGTGAGGCCTTAACAAATTCGCTAGATGGTATTATTAACTATGCACACGATTGAGTGTTATCTTTTTGGTATCAAATAGATATATTAAACTCACAGTTTGCCAGACTGTAACGATTTTTCTTACTCATGAAACTACAATTTAATTCAAAATAATTTTCTTAATAATTACTTTTAATGGCGATAATTTTGTGTTGGTCACATTTGCATATAATTTTATTTATAAATATCAGGTGTACAACTTTGCTTCCGCCGTTTTTTTCCCCCAAATCAAAAGCTTTATTGTGAAAAAGTGCTTACAGATATATTATTCAAAGTATTGTCTTTCGCTAACGACAACTTTCTCCCATCTTTCCGGCAATTTTCGGATCCCGGCTCGAAAAAAGGAGTCCTCTTTTGACGCTATCCATGAAGCTATCCATGAAGCTATCCATTTTTCCAATTCTTCGAAGGATTGAAAATGTTGATCTGCCAGACCGTGTGCCATCGAACGGAATAGGGGGAAGTCAGAAGGGGCGACATCTGGGGAATACGGCGGGTGGGGCAAGCGTTTCAGCGTTTCCAGGTACTTTTTGACCACTTTTGCGACGTGAGGCCGAACATTGTCGTGTTGGAGGATGACTTTGTCATGTCGCTCTTGATATTGTGGCCGCTTTTCTTTTAGCGCGCGTCTAAAGCGCATCAGTTGTGTTCGGTAGCGATCTCCTGTGATGGTTTCACCCGGTTTTAAGAGCTCGTAGTAAATCACTCCGAGCTGATCCCACCAAATACAGATCATAACCACCATGTTTGTCTTTGACATCGAA